TGAAATATAAATGAATAAACATTAGTGTCTCTGATGCACTTATTGATATTTAGATTCTGCCTTTAACCACATCTATTTGTAGAAATACTTACATATTTAGTTAAAAATCTTAATATGCAATATTATTACACTGGGAGAGTTAGGGGTAGCAGAAATCACTGATTTGGTAATCATCATAAAACAATATGCTCATGGCTCTAGCATCAGTTTTCTGACTCCTCCACAATGTATTGGATCATATTTCGATTAAATCAACAGAACTGAATTATCTCCAAAAAGTGAACCAAGGAAGCGTCTGCAGTATCCTGCTACAAAGAAAAGGCAGTAGACTATGACTGATCCCTCTTGATTTCTTTGTCCAATGTGCAATAGTATATTCTTTTTTTAAAAGATTGTACATATTTGTGGGATACAGTATGTTGTTTCAGTACATGCATATATTGTACAATGATTCACTCAGTGTAGATAACCTAAGATTGCATTCCAGATCCTCTTTTCTAGCTATTTAGAAATACACAATACGATGTTATTAGCTATAGTCAGCTTAGAACACCAGAACTTATTCTTCCTATCTCCCTGTAACTTTATACCCATTAATCCATCTCTTTCCCTCCCGCCGCCCCCAGCACCCCTTCCCTTCCTGGCCTCTGGTGATTATTATTCTACTTTCTACTTCTACTCAATAGTTTATTCTTATTTCTAATTGTAGCTTTTTTTGTTTGTATAAGAGGCTCAACTCTCAAGTGAGAATTGAGGCAAATGCAACCCATTAGGGTATGCTGACCTTAAACTTATCAAGCTTCAGATTGGTGGCACAAAGATCTAGCCTCTATGTACTTAAAAATACAGATTTGTTTTGTTTTTTCCAAAGATTCAAAAATAGCATTATGAGGTAATCAGACATCTTATGAGATTATCACAGTCCTTAAAACCCCTTCTCTAAAACTGCTTCCCCTGCTCACCCTACTCACCCCTACTGCCCTCCCAGGGTCCCTGGTAACATGGTGCTCTCCCTGCCTCTCTGGCTACAGTTTACTGAACCATGGATTAACGCCCGGCCCACGGGGGCTGATTACGTTCTTCCACAAGAAATTGGATTCTGGAATTGTTGCCCATTTCTAGCAACTGCTTCAACTGAGGGCCTGCAAGATCTGCGTCAGCAGCACAGAGAGGCAGAAAAAGCCAGTCCACGGAACGCACGGTAAGCGTGCAGAGAGAAGAACATGGTCAGGTGCTGAAAGGAGGATGAAGGGCAGGAGGAAGAGGAAGGAGAGAAGGCTGAGAGGGAAAGAGAGGAGAGGGCGGTAGGGTGGGGAGAGGAGCTGGAATTTTTCCCTGTTTTTTCCATTTCCTAGCTCCAATCCTACCCAAGGCCTCCACATATTCATACATTTGGATGTCCTAAGGAAAGCTTGTATCCTTATAACAGATGTCCTGATATTGTTCTGTTTCATTTTTGTGAGTTTGCTAACACTATGAAATTAAATAAACAATTGAAATCAAGGATTAGATGACAATTCCATTTGCAATTTATCATGCTGTGCTTTATATATAAGCTGCTGGCTACAAATTGGCTATCATTTCAGAGCAATATAACTATCAACTCAAAGAAGTAAAATTAGTATTGTAAGAAAGCATGGATTCTGGCAGTCTTGGGGAGAAAAAAATTTAAGGGCAGAAAGTAGAAAAAAAAAAAAATGCCAGAGGGCCAAAATTTAGCTGTTACATAACTATATATGTGAATCTAAAACTAAACAATCAAATTTTAATTATAAAATAAAGAAGCAAAACATTAAATTATAATAAATATTATTAGGTCACAAATGATTGAACATATGAACTATTAAAAATTTAGCTGTTAAAACACACACAGATACATACATCTATTTCTGTAATGAGACACATGTATAGGAACAAACAGATATATAGGTGTACATGTTTCCTGAAACTAAGGTATTTACCACTTGAAAAGTAAAGATTGTTATTCAGATACTATCAACATCTGCATCATAATGCTAAATATGTTGGTTTAACAAATTCCTACATACTATTAGTAGAAAAATCATGTTAGAATTCTTAAAAGAATAAGCCCAACTTCTTTTAATTCTTGTTAGAGTCATCATTTCTGTCATGTCCACTTGAAAACCATAACATGCTAATTAATGAATGTAGATAAATGAATTAATGATCCTACAATAAATGACAGCCCTGAGGATTTAGTATAAGTATACAATGAATGCAACCTATTATCCTAAAGGATTTTCTACAACCTACTACAATTTTCTCTATCGGAAGGTGCAGTGTGAACACTACAGTTAATAATATTGCATTATACACGGGAAATCTGCTAAGAGAGTAGATTTTAGGTGCTCCAATCACCAGAAAAAAAAAGGGGGGGGAGTAACTATGAGGTGATAAATATGTTAATTTGCTTATGGGTAATTATCTTTTCACTATATATATGTATAGCAAAACATCACGTTGTACACCTTAAAAATATTCAATTAAAAAAAAAAAGAAATTGTGGCTCTAGGAATTAACAGAAAAACAAAAACAAAAATCAGTAATATATTTTATAATTAAATTACCATAGAAATACTATGCGGTGTTAAAGGAAAGGAATATTTAAAAAATAAAAAAACTTTTCTGAGTTGTATCATGCAGTATGATGAATATAGTTAATAATAGAGTATTGCACATTTCAAAATTGCTAAAACAGTAAATTTCAAATGTCCTCACCACGAAAAATGTTACATATTTGAGGTGATGGATATGTTAACTTACTTAATTATTCTACACTGCATGCATTAATTATAACATCATTTTGTACCCCATAAATCTATACAATTACAATGTCAACTTAAAATTTAAAAATAAATAAAATTAAAATACGATAATAGTTCTCTTAACTTACAACTGACATTTTGGAAAGGTGTTCCTCCAATTTAAATGTTTTCTTTTCATCTTAAAGCATTCTATAGTTAATTAAGACCTCATATAAAAATCTATTCCCCATGGTAAATATAACCTAAATGCTGCAATATTAAGCTAGTAAACATTTTACAAAAGTTTTTAAGATGTTACGGCTTCAGAACAGACAGAAACTGAATATACTAGTGATGGGAGAAAAACCAGAAAAATCAGTAGCAAATCCATCATTAGTTTACAAATTAATAAATGTTCTTTAGTTAATGGCAATGGTCAGAAAAGACTTCTATACTTGTGGAATAATTATTTTATTACAGGGCTTATTTTAGGTCACACAATTAGCATTCTCTACCAATATACTGCAATCAAGCAACTTTAACATATAAAACTATCAGCTTAATAAATAAATCAGAAAGAAGGTACTTAACGTGTTATTAAAATAGTCCCGTGAGGGCAGAGAATTTTTGTGACTTTCCTTCTACATATACCTGGTACCTGGAAAAGTGCCTGGCACATAGTAGGTGTTGAATGATCAAATGAACAGGTGTTGGTTACAAAGGCCTAGGGTTTTAGGATAGTTTTACTGGCCCTTTCCCATTCTCAAAGACTGCTATGGTTTGAATGTTTATCCCCTCCAAACCTCATGTTAAAATTTAATTGCCACTGTAATGGTATTAAGAGGTGAGACCTTTAAGAGGTGATTAGGCCTTGAGGACTCCACCCTCATGTGTGGGATTGGTGCTATTATAACAGGGCAAGTCTGGTACCCTCTTGCTACCTCGTGCCTCTTTGCTTTCTGCCATGGGATGACACAGCAGGAAGGCCTTCGCCAGAGCCAACACTTTGATCTTGGACTTCCCAACCTCCAGAACTGTGAGAAATAAATTTCTATTCTTTACAAATTACCCAGTCTCTGGTATTCTGTTATAGCAACACAAAACTGATGAAGACAAAGATACATGGAAGCCCTATATGGCCATCTACACTCCTGCAGTGCCTGGATGTCCAGAAAAGCTTCTTGAGCATTAGAGACAGGTTTCTGTCCCCTTTCGCCACTGACCAGTTATAAGACTTAAGGCAACTGATGTGACCATTCTAGCTACCAACTTTACCTGAAAATCTTGACAACTATAATAAACAAAGCTTTGAAGCTGCTTCCAGTTCTATAATTTTATAACTAAAATCCACTCAAAAAAAAAAA